ATTCATTCCATTTTCAGAACTCTTCTTTACAATGATTATTTCTCTTGTGTAAGAATGGAATGTAGTTTTGGGGGAAAGTTTTAAGGAATTTCATCATGGTAAGGTAGTACTTTATTTTGTATACCTTAAAATAGAACTTAGTTATGCTACATAACCGCATAGCACAGTGCTGTGCACAGGGAGCCAGATCTCACGTGACTGACTGCGGTTCAATTCTCAGGCGCAGTGGCTTGAAAACCACCCCCAGTGCATGTGTGTAAGTGCCTGCAATCATGAGGGCATGGAGAAATGGAGCAAAAAGGATTACGGCATGACCATGTCCCCTTAGGGGTGGGGGGATATCTCTCTCTCTTTCATCTCTCTCTCTCTGGGTCTCTCCTTCTTCCTCTGACTCTCTTTTGCATGCACACACCCCATGTTAAAAAAAATTACTAAGAAGAGTGGAACTTAGTCATGTGTTTTAGGTTAGTTTCTTTTCATAGCCTTGCCTAGATAAAAGCGATAGGGAGAGTGAAAAGTGGAAAATATCCACAGCAGTGAAATATACCAGTGTTACAGCCATGGATACTCAACCAAATTTTCTGATTTTGATCTTGCTTAATCAGTTCAACCTCATTATGAATTTAGAGTAAGGGAATGTCAACATATACATCCATCTACTCATCCCAAAGCAGGACCTTGATTACCTTTGGTACTGGATTTTCTGAGTATATTCCCAAAGATAATGTTTTTTTTTTTTCACTTTTTCTCATCTGCCATGATGTGTTTATTTCAGGGAGAAAAAACAAAAATGTACCATAGTGATAAATTACTATTTTTCTATCCAAATACATAATCCAGAGTATCTTTTTAAATTATATTTTAGCCTTTTTCTTTTTTTTTCTTCTTGCGGCTCCAGTGCACTTCTTAGGCTAGCCTACAGTTTAGATCATGAGCAAAGTAAGACAGTACCTCTGAAATACTTTGATCAATCTGCAGATCTGGAACATGACCAATTTTATTCGTCAATTTAAAAAAACTCATTTTTGGGACCAGCAGTTAGCATAATGGCTATGTTGTTGGACTCCCCTGTAGTCGACTGTGGTTTGAGTCCCGGATCCAGTGGCTTAAACTCACGCTGGGCACGTGTGCATGTATGCCTAAGATCCCGAGAGGAGAATAGAGGAGAAGGGAATGCGACATGGACATCCCCCCCTGGGGGGTGATTTCTCACTTTCTGTCTCTCTCTGTCTTTCTGGCGAGCGCACACGCCCTATAGCAAAACCTCTACAAAACAAAAATACAAAAAAACCTCATTTTTAATATTTATTAAACATTCTCCAAGCTAATTTTCAACATTTCCTGTGTTAACTATGAAAGACAAGTATAACTAAAACGTTTTCTGATTAAATATTGCTTATATAGAAGTGTATATAATCAACTATTAAGTTCTATTATAGTTTTTTAAAATGTGTAATCACTCCTTCCTCTATATTTCTGTAGTATTTTGCATATAACTTGATTATGGCAGTCATCATTATTATTATAGTTCACAAATATTGTTCGTATTGTGTAAATTAACAATTTTACATTTATTTCATCTTCTTTCTGCAGTATGTTGTAACTTGTCTACTTGTGTTTCCTTCCCCCCAGAATAGACCACAACTAACTTACCCACCTTTAGATTCCTGCTATACTCCATATGGCAAGTGCTCAGCAACTCCATTTATGAAAGGATGTAAAAATGTTGGTTTTCAGTATTTGGCGTTAAAAAATAATGCAGTTTGAATTATTCAGGGTAATGTTGCAGAATGAAATAATATTCATCATGAGTCTATAACATTTAAAAAAGTAGGAAAAATAAGATGAAAAACTGCTATTAACATGAAATGAAAATTGTGTTTGTTTGTGGTCTTTAATTCTTTTTACTTAGCTTGCCTCCTAAATGAATTTTTTAATGATATATCCCTTCATGTATTTTAATGTTGATGTCTGATATATTTTATCATAAGTTTATGTATCTATGGAGACTATAGATAGCATTAACAGTATATATTTTGTTGGATTGTCTGGAAAGTCATGACGTATTTTTACATGGGAAAATATGCGTGACTTTCCCAGCGGCCTCATATATGAGGGGTCTTTAAAATGTTCATGGTAAATGTATCTTTTGAAATAAACTATGAGGCTGCTCATGGTCTTGTGGTTAAGTGAGCTGGACCTCACAGTTCTGACAGTGTGGTTTGAATCCTGGTCTTTGCAGCTTAAAAATATGCCAGGTGTGTGTTCATGTCTGTCCAAATTCCCAAAGGAAGGGTGAAATGGAGAAGGGATTGTGGTGTGACCACGTCCCATGGGGAATGCTTTCTCTCTTTTCCTCTCTCTCTGTCTCTCTCCTCTGAGTATACTCATCCTCTATTAAATTTAAAATGAAGAAAGAAAAGAGAGAGAGAAAAAAAAACTATGCATGGATTTTTAAAAAGTTTGTACTGAAAAAACTCAGACTCATACTTTAGTTCTATTTTTTCCATGAGTTTTCAAAATTCCCCTTGTATTTACTCTAAATGATTTTTGTCAAAACTTTGGAGCTGCATATTTAGTTCATTCAATCAAAAAATGTTCACCATATAATTTAATTGTGTCAGTCAGTCCTCATTGCCAAACTACTTAGCTAAGTCAGACATGTTATTGAACTTGTTACTGTTCAATAACAAGCCTGACTTCACTTTTTAGATTAAATGAATGTGTTAATACACTCTATAATGACCATTCCCCTTCTGTATTCTAATTATGAGAGAGACGCATAGATTGATTTATAAACACCCTCAGACAGACTGGCAGAAAGGCACAGAGCCTTGGCAGGATGGAATAAGCCTCCTCCCCTTCACGTTTTCTTACTTTACTCTTAGGGATTATACCCCAGGATCAATGTTTTCTTGAATTTTCCCTTTCCTCTTTGTTCTGGAGACTTTTACACCTGGGGGCAATGTGCCTTAGCAAGGTTTGGGATGGGTGAGAGGAGTGTGCTGTATCTTTTTTGTTAGACACAGGGCATTGTGAGAGAGGAGGGTGGAAAGGAAGAACATGACAAGGGTGTTCTCCAGCAGATCAGTTTTAAGAAGGGACACATGTGGAGCTTGAGGATTTGGAAATACATTCCATTTAAATGTCTATATTTGCGTTACCCGTGAGAAGTCTTTATTTACATTTTCTTGAAGACTGCTGGAACAGGTTGTGTCTGTGTAACATAATAGGCATAACATACTATGATCGCAAGATAAATGAACTGTGACACCCACAGCATACACACACTCACAACACACATACACAAACGTCTGATATACCTTCTGGTGCCTTAATGAGTGCACCAGTACTCTGTCAATATTTTACATTCGAGAGTGTTCCAGACACTGTGATCCCATGGTTTACCAATTGCAAGAGAAAGGAAATCGAGCATGTGAATGATCAGAGGTTGTGCAAGAGGGAAACAAAATCTCTCCTCAAATGTGAAATGAACAAGGTGAAAATTTTAAATTCTAAAAATATTCAGTGGGAGGGACCAGCGCTTAGCGTAATGGCTATGTCGCTGGACTCACACGTAATCGACCGTGGTTTGAGTCCTGGACTCGGTGGCTTAAACTCACGCTTGGCTTGTGTGTGTGGGTGCCCAAGATCCCAAGAGGAGAATGGAGGAGAAGGGATTGCGGCGTGACCATCCCCTCTGGGGGGTGATTTCTTGCTTTCTATCTCTCTGTCTATCTCTGGCTGTCTGGTGAGTGCACATGCCCTATAGCAAAAACCTCTCCAATATATATATATGTTCAGTGGGACTCTCCAGGGATTTTAATGAGTTCAATAACACAGTGGTACAATTGATTGTAAAATTTCTTTCTTTCTTTCTTTTTTTTTCTTGGAGAGTTTTTTGCTATAGGGCACATGCACTCACCAGACAGAGAGAGACAGAAAGCAAGAAATCACTCCCCAGGGGGGATGGCCACACTGCAATCCCTTCTCCTCCATTCTCCTCTTGAGATCTTGGGGACACATGCACATGTGCCTGGTGTGAGTTTAAGCCACCAGGTCCAGGACTTCAACCATGGTCGACTACATGGGAGTCCAGTGACATGGCCATTACACCAATTGCTGGTTTCTGTTTTGTTTTTCTTTTGAGAGATTTTTGCCTTAGGGCACATGTACTTGCTGGAGAGAGAGAGAGAGAGACAGAGACAGTGAGATTTAAAGTGAGCGATCACCACCCGCGGGTGGTCACACCACAATCCCTTCTCCTCCATTCTCTTCCCGGGATCTTGGGCATACATGCACATGCACCTAGAGTGATTTTCATGCGACCAGGTCCAGGACTCGAACCGCAGTTGGCCATGTGGGAGTCTAGTGACATAAGCACTACAGGATCTACTGGCCCGTCATTTAGTTGTTTGTAAAAACCATTTAAAAATGTATTTTAACAGCACTAAGTTACTGCTATACAACTAGGAAAATTATGTGATACCAATTTTATTTCTGTTGCTGTATTACACTATCAAAAAAAATGATAAGAGCTTATGTTAGAGTTGAAGGAGACATTTCACATAGTCTTAGAGCTCAGAATTACAGTCTGTGGCAATAATAAAATATTCCAGCTGGTCCAGAAGAGATTGTGAATAAAAAGCCATCCGTTGCCTTTTGTAGAAGCAGTAGCAATCTGCAGACAAGCTATTCTAGCTTCAAAACAGTATGGTAGGTGGTTTTATAGAACATAACGATTACAGAAATCCACTTTAACCTTTCTCTCTTACTGGCAGGTGTCCTACTGGCTCACAGCCAGAGGCTGTGAGTATAGTGCAGCCTGCCGAGTCCCCAAGAGTGCTGAAAATGCCGACACTCCAGCTGGCTGCTCATAATTGCATTGATTGTGGTCTAACAACCAGAACTCCAAGAAAGAAATGTGATAAACTTACAAAAATTATTTTACAAATTTGATTAGATTACAAATTTTATCTCTTTTTTTTCCTCCTCCATAGATATGATATCTGCACTTATAAAAATAAGCCCTGTGGAACACTGGGTAAGTTTTTTCTTTGTTTGTTTGTTTTAAAAGGCATATAATTCAGATTGTCATTTTGGACCAATGACTTTATCTTATTATTATTATTTTGGTGATTTTATTTTCTACTACATCTGAAATTATCCCTAGAAGTTGTTAAACCTGACCTTTGTGGGTTCATCATTTATTAGGAAATAAATATTTTTCCCCATAATAAATATATAAATTTAATTGCCTTGTTTTTTTCTGGCAACTGGAATGATGATTTGAAACAACTTAGAAGATGATTAAAAATCAGCAAATGAGGGGCCAGCCAGGTGTTGTGTAGGTTAAGGTGGATGGATCCTATATGGCCGACTACACAGTTTGAGTGCTTGAGTGCTGGACCCGGCAGCTTGAAAAACACACTAATCATGTGCATGTGTGTGTGTGTGCCCAAAATCCCGAAGGAGAGTGGAGACGGGATTGTGGCACAGTCATTTCCCCTGGAGAATGCTTTCTCACTTTCTCTTTCTCTCTCTCTCTCTGGAGTACTCATGCCCTATAACAAATCTAACTAACTAAATAACTAAACGAGTCAAATTTTTTAGAAAAAACAGCAAGTAGTAAGTCAAAGTTACTACTCAGCGTCATATAATCCATGTCAGTAATGTATTTTCCAAAAATATCAAAGAGTATGAAAGCAACCAATATTTTGAAATCCTAGGAAAGGTAAATAAATCTGGAGATACTTAAAGGAGAGGCATCAAGAACAACATTTCTTTTTGTACAATTTTGTGAAAAGAATTTATCTTCATTCATTGAGATCTTAGAAATGTTTAATACCCAAAACAAAAAAAGGAATTTTGTAAAACATCATAGCCAGAGATGAAGAAAGAAGACAGGATTATCTTTCTTGTTTGCCCTTAATATCATTTGTTTTTTAAAAAGCATTTCTGTAGTGTTCTGGAATGTAAAAGATCACATTTTCTAACAGGGTGTAATTTCATATTGCTTAAAAGTTAACTGGATATAAACGGGGGAAATTGTAAGTGTTCATGTAGACTAAATTATTGAGCAAGTAGTGTTATTTTAAGGAATAGTATCTTTTTTTCTATGATAATTTTTCTAGTGTCATAGAGATTTTTTTTACAGATTTGGATGTTAAGCAACTGAAGGTGAATTCTTTAGTTGCTTTATGGCAGCTCAAATTTCCTATCTATAAAGGAATAATTATGACATGGATTCCTGTACACTTTGTAAGCATTCGGGTAAGATCAAATTAAAGTAGATATAGGAGAAAAAGTGTTACCCAGCTTACCAGGGAGTTCATTGAAACATCTCTTCTGAGATTAAAATTTCTCTTGGTGATTTTACCTGCTTCTTGCTTCTCTTATCCCATTTCCCTCAAAATTTATGAATAAAGAAGAAATCCCAATTAGCCTGTGGTGAGTATTAACAGTGGTGAAGTTACTAGTTAGTAACAGACTGCAGAAAGGCTCTCTTTGCTGAGAGCTCACATCAAAGAGATTTTCTTTGTAGAATTTTAGATGAACAAAATTCATCCGAGGGGACCCACACCTGGACACGACAACTGGATTTGACAGTTCTGATACATTATTATTTACAGTTTATTTAAGTTTGCTCTCCAATTTTCTTACCTATGAAGTAGAAGTCATATCTGCCCTTATGGTATAGGAATATTATCAAAAAATATTTAAGGAAACAAATATAACTTTGTTTAATAAAGAAGTACTGTAAAAAGTGAATTAATGTTATTATGCAATGAAAAGATTATCTACCATTTAACTTATCTCCTTAATTTACTGTTGAAGTTCTGTATTCACTAAGTGCTTAATCCATTTTAGATAGAGTAGATGCTAGACTTCAAAGGGGGTATACATGTAAGCTCTAGCTTGTACTTTTCTAGTATATACTTTTTGAGAGAATATATGTGTAATGTTCATATACCTATACATATGTGTATTGCTCTTCATACACACACACACACACACACACACACACACACACACTTTTTAGTGTAAGTTATTTACATTGAGATATGCTCCTCATTGTAACAGTAGTAATTCCACTGCCTTTTGTATTGTCAATATTGCCAAAACTTTGAGGGATTTTCCTATCCTACTTCTTTTTTTTTTTTTAAACGAATGTATTCCAACTTGGATAGTTCATTTCTAGAATCAATACATTAATAGTTGAGTACCTATCAATGCATTTTCTAGCTTAATATGAGTTATTTTTGAAATTATAAGCCACTATAGATCATTTTTTATAATACATCTTGCAGAGAAAACTGAATGAACTGCACACACGTGTGCTGACCTTCAACTTTGGAAAATATGTTCTCAGTGTAGAACTGATTAGGTTATTACTTTCTGAGTTGTTATTCTAGTAGCTTTCATGTTGTTTTTTAATACTGATTTTTGAGTATTCTCTTGATTAGTAATTTTGATGACCAGTCGTAACATGGCTAAGTAGGCTGAAGGGTGCAAACTGTAGCTATCAAACTGAGGAAATCTAAATGACTCAAATAATAGTCAAACCCCTATTAACGAATAACACATAAGAACTTTGACAAAGTTAATTTTATAGAGATACAGAAAATAGTTGGTGGTTGTGAAAATATGTTAGCATGAAGAAATATCCTTTCATTTTAGTTAGAACTTACCTTTTTTTTTTTTTTTAACAAATAGTAGTTATTTCCCTAATATATTCTTTAAGTTAGTCTCTTAGCTGGGCTAATCATTTTATATCCGATATCAAAAGTAAACCTGGGGACCAGCAGGTGGTGTGGTGGTTGGGGGCACTGGACTCTCACATGGCTAACTGTGGTTTGAATCCCAGAACTGATGGCTTGCTTTCTCTCTCCCCACCCCTGCCCTGTCTTTCTCTTGCTCTGTCCCTCTCTGATCAAAATAAGTAAATAAGTAAATATTAAATAAAATAATTTTAAAAAGTAAATCTGTGCTTATAAATGTGCCTTAGGAAGTCATTGAGAATTCTGCATTGAAAATACATCCACATACCCTATACCAAAAAATAATACAACAAAATACAGGAAGTTAGTGGGTAGTTTAAGAAATTTTAAGTTAAAAATAATTATTTGTAGTAATTTTAAAAATTACATTCTGTAAAACTCAAAACAGAAGCAGAGTTTAGTCAATGTCTTTATTTTTCCCTTGTAGTCAGCCCCGTTGAACCCAGTAGCTTAAAGCAAAACAACATACTGCAAATGTTTTTTATTTCACTCTCAGTGTCAGTGAATGTGTGTGTGTGTGACTAATATTTTTGATTAATAAAAAAAGAATTGGTTACTATACCCAACTCATTCTTTTTCAAACCCCAAGAACTCTGAGTGAATGGAATGGCTCGGCACATGAGTGTAACTAGTATTTATAACAATTCTGGGAGGCAGAAATCAGCTCCCTCTCCAACTCCTATAACTCCTACATAAAGCAGTAGGAAACAATCTATTTGAAACTTATCACTAACTATCACTAACCTTAACTCTTTTCCAGTGTAGTTATTATGTTGATATTTATATTAGAAAATACAAAGAAACACAATTTCTAGAGCTTTCTTGTCAGTGAAAATATAAATTGAATAGCATTTATTGTTCCAAATTAATGCATCTAGGAAATTATACCTCGTATAGAACATTGCTTTTTGCATTCAACAAATATTCATTGATTTGAATTGAAATCACTTGTGGTAGGAAGGTAATTTTTAATATTTGAGTGGTGATAGCAGACTACTAACATATAAAATCTTTTTCTACTTTTTTTTCTATGTCTTCTAAATACCTTTTTGTCTCTATGCATGTTAAATGTGATTTGGCATCTATTTCCTTATAACAAATGACTTTCTGCAAAAGAAATTGTTGTTTCTAAGCGCTGTGTTAAAATTCTGTACTAATTCACAGAGCATAATAATACTCATTTAGAAGAAAGTATTAAGGCTTTACATACTAAAATTCTCCAGGGGAGAATACCTTGAGTAACATAATGTTTCACTGGAATCAGTGAGTTAATGCCATAGTTTTTGCTTTGTTTGTAAAACTTTAATGCATTGAAGGGGAATGGAAGAGAGGAAAACTTCATTGAATGTATGAATGATGTTTCTACCATTAAACTACTAAAAGAAATTGTTGCGTCACTATCAGAACTGATTTCAAAAGATTAAAAAAGTGTAATAACCTCCCATATTTCACAGTTCTTTTTCTCTTTTGAATTGTTCATTTTGTTTTTATAAAAATGTCATTTTAAAGAACCATTTGGGACTCTCCCCCCCTTTTTTTTGGTAACTAAAAAGTTGCTTGTATATTTTTATGAACCCACTAAACTTAAACAGATCTCTTTAGAAAAATAACGTGGATATATTTTGCTTTCTACAGCCTGAAGAATGTTAAAATAGAAATGCTTTCTTGAATTCCCTCTTCTGGCTCAAGTTACTAGGTGGTCCCAAGTTACCAGAAGTAAAATTTATAAATCTAACCCCTAGTCTAGACATTTTCCAGCACTGACTGCAGTTCAAAAAATATTAATGTCTAGCCGGCAAAGTGAAATTCCCCCCAGTGATTTTGCAAATGACTAGAAAGTTAACCTTTTGCCAACTGCTCCTTCTGTGCATGGAGGTTATTAAAAAGAATCCAGGCATTTATAAGTATGGGCTTTTTAAGACTGAAACACCTTGGCTTGACCCTTTGTGTCTTTTTCTGTTTATTCAGGCTTGGCCTCTGTGGCTGGAATGTGTGAGCCCGAAAGGAGCTGCAGCATTAATGAAGACATTGGCCTGGGTTCAGCTTTTACCATTGCACATGAGATTGGTCACAAGTGAGTGAATTTAAGAAAATCAAAATAAATTTTAGAACTCCGTTCTCTTGAGCAACTCGTAACTACCGTGTGGAAAGCCTGTGTACGACCATATTTTACTGCCTTTTTTGTCTAATTTCATTAGAGAATGCTATCATTCTGGATATTGAGATAAGTCATCTGAAGAACTAGAGCCTTATGAAATGAGCTATGACTCAGTGACTAGTCTCTACAGTGATCAATGTACCACACTTAAGTTTTGTTATACACATTTGAAACCACATTCATTTCAGTTTGGTCTCCTCAACCAACTTCTTCATAAAGTCCAATTATTTAAATAATCTTTTTTTCTTCCTTAAGTGACAGTACATAGACACTTTAAAATTAGTCATCCCATGACCATAAAACATACTTTTAGTTTTCGCTCTTCCTACAGCCATGAGCATAACTTCCTGGCATAAAGTTTGTGCAACCTTTGCTGTTTAACTCAGATTTTCAGGTGCACTTGTCTGTCAAGGTGCACTGTACTTATAACTTTTTTTTTAAGTTTTGATAAAATGGTTATGTGTAGAGTGAGATATCATTCTCACTTCTTTTTAGGAAGACCTGAAGTTTTAAATATTTGTTTTAAATTAATCTGTGCCAGGGGAAGATCTTTCCTATGTCTTCCTCCCACCCTTGAATGGCAATAAAACCTTGTCTATATTTTAAACAACAGGCAGTAGTAAGTATAAAAGCCTACTCAGGTTAGAGTAAGAGAAGTTGATCAGTATTTTTCCTTATTTCAAACAATTGTGTTCCTAAAACTGAAAGATGATTTGCTCTTAGTTTCTAATGTGATTATGATGCTCTCTTACAAAGGTAAAAACTAAATAAGTGAATTTCTAATTTGTTAGTAGATTACATTTTTGTAAACAGGAAAGCTCTTTTCCTTTAAATAGAAACTATTAACACTCAGCAAACAGCCAGTTGTATCTGCTAACATGAAAACGAGTGAAAACTTTAAAAGGCTACTCAAGCATTTTTAGCTAGAACAAGCAGCCTGGCTGCAAGAACTATTGATATTTGTATGATTAAAGTTTTTTAATCTGCTTTTTTAGTGACAAAATGGCTTTGAAAAAAGAATAAATAAGAATGAATGTTTATATATACACTTGTCTCAAAGATAATTTCTGAGATGAATCTGTAATTCAGGTTTGTTTTTTTCTTCTCTCTCTCAGAAGTAGGGAGTAAAACTGAGTCAGTCTGCATTGTTTAGGTATAATGTCCATACAATAAAATTGCACCCATTTTGTGTACTGTTTGATGAATTTTGACATATCTACATAACCATGTAACCACCACTACAATTAAGATGTCAAAATTTCCATTACCTGAAGTCTCCCCTTTCCCTCTCCCTTCCCCTTCCCCTTTCCAGATCATCTCTTCTCTCCTCTCCCGCGTTCCCAGATAACCATGGACCTACTTTCTATTACTATGGATTTGGCTTGTCTTTTCTATGGCATCATTTTAGTGGACTTAAATAGTGGGTACTCTTTTATGTCTAGCTTCTTTCCCTGAGCATAATGTTTTTGAGATTTATCCATGTTCTATTTATCAGTGATTTGGTTTTTGCTTGTTTGGTTGTTTTTATTTTTTTCCTGAATAGTATTGAGTTGTCAGGAAAGTCATGATGCATTTTTGCATAAAAAAAAACAAAGAAAAATATGTCATGACTTCCCTGACGACCTAATATTTCATGTCGTTTTGACTCGTTTAGTTTGGGTTATTATTATAAATAAAAAGTGAAGAACATCTGTTTACAAATATTAGTATGGAAATACACTTTTGTTTCTCTTGGGTGATACTGCTGGTAGTATGGTGTTATTTTAATTTTATAAACAAACTTTCTTCAAGTGACTATACTGTTTAGCATTCCACTCACAATCTTTGACAGTTCTGGTTACTTCAGATCCCTCTCAATATTTGTTATTATAAATCTTTTTTATTTTAGCCATTATTTTGCGTTTTAGTGTGTCTTATTATTTTCATTGATCATTTGTTTTTTGCTGATAAATAATGATAGCGAGCATCTTTTTATGTGCTTGTCATTCATATAGCCTCTTTGAAGTATCTGTTCAAATCCTTTCCCCGTTTTTTAAAAATTGTATTATTTTCTTATTCAGTTGTATTCTCTGTAAAAGACTTCATTATATGTGCATAAGGGGGCCAGAAAAATGAGGTAGCGGTTACGTCACTAGACTCCCACATGGCCAACTGTGGTTTGAGTCCGAGACGCAGTGGCTTGAAACTCACACCAGGTGTATGTGCAGGTGTGCCCAAACTCTTGAGAGGAGAATGAGAATGGAGGGGAAGGGATTGTGGTGTGGCCATAGCCACTGCGGTGTGATTTCTCACTTTCTCTTTCACTGTCTCTCCCTGATGAGTGCATGTGCCTTAAGGCTAAAAACCCTCTTTTTAAAAAAATGCTATACAAAGATATGTAATGTGAATATTATCCATTCATCTGTTGCTTGCTGTGCAATTTTTGAATGGTGTCCTATGAAAAACAGAATTTAAAATTTCTTTAAGAATTATTTTATTTTAATTTATTATTATTATTATTTATTTATTTTAATTTGACCAGAAAGGGACAGAATAATAGAGAGAGAGAGAGAAAGCAAGCCGTCAGCTCCAGGACTACAACTGTGGTCGGTGATATGGCAATCCAG